TCTCTTCTGCACATCAGAAGGTCGCTTCTAATTGTTTTTATCTCACTTCGATTCGATTTATCAAAAGTGTAATTCGAAATGCACAAATAGTTAATCAAATGCTTGATCCAGAAGCAACTTGGACATTTGTTACTGACTCATCTTAGGCTGCGCTGAAAATATGGCAAAAGCTGGAACGCCTATTCATTTTGCATAATCGATTACGCTTAACTGCGATCGTTTTTCTCTCTTTTCTTCTTTTTAAGAATACAAGCAGAAATAGACCTGCGACTATCGATTGCCTTTCGATGTCTTCCACACGGGTTGCTTGTTTAGTTGTGTGGCCATTTTGACGAATACACCAAAAGATTACTTCCATGCAATATCAACAGATGTGATATGCGTGAAATCATTCATTTGGAAAGCAACTGCTTAAATCAGACGTGCTTACGTGTTTTTATATTATTTATTTATTTACTATATGTGCATTGTCTATTAAATATGACTAAATTGTCTAATTCTCACTTCATTTTTTTTCCAGATGATTTACTACCACTTTATTGGAAAGAGCGACAAGGATTGAAGATATCAGTCACAAAATTGACGAGGGATTGAGGATACCAGTCGCAGAAAAAATGGTGCAGAATGGTGGATCTCTTTCTGCTAGCATCATCGTGTACACTGTACTTCAGAATACAAATCTGAATTTAGTGTTTGAGCAGAAATGTCGTTTCAAGTTGGGACTTTGAAAGTAATGGGCGATATGCAGAACTCGATTATTTCAAATGAAGCCAAATTTAGTGAATACAGAAGGAAGACCATGCCAGATTGGGAATGGAAGAAACATATTGTGTCTCTATAGGAATCTTCATAAGCAAATATTTCTGCTTTCAATCACTTAAAGAATTTCAATTCTCGAATTATTACTGCTACGATGATTTACTGTTGTGGACTTAGTAATATAATGATATCGATACTCGAATCAAAATTACAGTCATATTGGTTTTTCAACGTACACTATAAACAAGCGACGATTACACTAAATAGCGGCTTCAAGATATTACGGAAGTTTCTGAAGTGATATAAAAGAAAGACCGGGAAGGTTTATAAATAACGTATGAATAGAAGAAATTCTTGTGTCTGTAGTGGAATTTAGTACTCCTCAAAGTAATGACATTAATGACGTGTGAACTTCACAAAAACATTGGAGCAAAATATATTGATTGGAAAGCTACACAACTTCTCGCCATTATAAGGTTTGCAACATAATTGCTAAAATCCACCTAGGATTTGGCAGTCGTATGAATTTTTTTAATGCTGATTTTCCTTTTACCTTGAAAGGTATAAGTGGCATCAGCATAATTTTAAAGCCAAGTAAAGCGACTAGATGCTGAAACTTGTAATTTATCGGATTGTACGTATAAAATTATTTGCTAGGAGTACAAGCAAGTTTAAACCGAACTAAAGTAATATTCACTTCAGTGAATAAAAATTGGAGGATTTTTTACTTCAAGAACTCGGAAATACCACATTACTTTTAATGTGAGTGTAGAAACTTCTCATAAAACAATGGTATCTAAAGGTTATTTCTTATATTCATCTTAATGCAAGAAACTGCAGAACCAAACGAAATTATCAACAAAATAATACTTCAGCAGTTCCAGAACAAAATCCGATCCATCATTAGTCTACAAACAATTCTTTTTCAAGGAATGAGACAGAAAAAATCCACGACAATTAAAGTTTATGAAGCTTCAGTTTTTGTTGTTGAAGAAGAACGAACAGTATAAACTACATTTTGCAAATCTTGAGAAAATGATCAGACGAGCAAATCAAAAAATTCCCGATGGAAATACTCGTAAAAACATCATAACCAACAAGAATGGAATATATAATTTACAGTCGATTTTTTGAAGATTTGGTTGTAATACTCGGAAGATCTCAAAGAATATCACTGTGATTCATGAAAGGAATTTTTTGGAGACCACACTTTCACAATCATCAATGTGCAGAAGCAGTGGCAAGGAAGCAAAATTCAGCAAGGTGTTTCGAATTCCACATTTTTCACGAAGAACATGTACAGAACAATAATCAGAAGTATGATTTTCTCTCACTAAATTTTTATGTTGTATTCAAACCATTGTTATTTGCTAAGTCCTAAGTAACTGCAATATGTTTTAATTTTTGATTTTTATCAGACTTCATTTATTCTATTCCAATATATTTGATTCACTTAATATTACTGTAATGATAATGTATAGATGCATATCTTTGCTGTAATTCACTTCTAAATATTCTTTGTAGGTTAAAATTATTCATGTATATAGTTGTATTGCAAAATTTTTTAAAATGCTCCATTTACTATTAATGAGTATTATTATTATTACTCTTAAATATCACATGTGTGAAGAAAGTAACATTATTATAAATCTGCATTTGAAATATAAGTTTAAGTAAACAATACTGTTCATATTTTTAAATGCACATATGCATTACACTTCTGGTACTCAAGTAATCTGGTATGAACGTTAGTTCATGCTACAAAATTCTGGAATACTTTCCATGTGTAGCTATTTCACACTATATTTCAAAAATGAGATTCAAAAATGGAACAAAATTGTACTTACTAAAGAAGCCAGCTTTGTTTTAAATCGTAAAACTTCAACTTTTACGCAGTACGACACTGCTAATCCTGGTTCCTTGTGAAAATAAGAATAATACTGACAAGAATGGTACTGTTTCCCCGGATATCGAAAATTACATGATCTGGAAACCACCACATTCGTCGTCTCCAACTTTCATCGTTATTACGACAATTGAGGCGGATAATGGTAATTGTAATGAAATCGTCAGTTATTCATACTTATCGTTAGTTATTCCTACTTTGCAAACTGAAATTAAATTCATTCAGTTACAAGAGGTATGCGCACTTTTAACCAATTCTAATGTTTGTTTACAAGTTATTACAAAAATTATTTAATCATACAATATGCATCAAGTCAGAAGTAGTCAAACTTCCATTTTCCACGGACTATTTTCTAACCTCAAATTGACGTAAATTTGATGTGAGGCCAGTGAAAACATGTAAAAGCAATGAAAAGGGAAGAGAAATGAGAAGAGGGATAAAGATTATGTGGAGGAGCAGAGCAGAAGAAAAAGGAACACGATGCATAACTGAGTACGCTAAGACGCATGCACTAGTCTAAGTATGCTCAAAGTGGAGTATGGCATAGAAGTATTGATAATGAAACTATTAGCAAAATGATTTGGCGTCTTTCCACATCCTAACTCGATCTCTTGTAATCATGGTAATTGCTAAGTGCCTAATCCACGATTGATCAAGATGTCATCTATCATCTTTTACGATTAATAGTAATATATATATATATATACCATAACAAATTTGACTTTTGTAAAAATGTCATTTGAGGATAAATTTAGTGAAATATACTTTAATATTACTCGTAAAAGTCATATTGATGATCACAAAATACTTTTCAGAAGTAACCTGCGCCTAAAACATCTTGCATTAGTTTGTGTTGCACATATTTTTTTTAATAGAATAGATCACAAATATTGATTGATTTCCCATATCGCTTGTTCAATCACAACTAATATTGAAAATTTTTGCATTATTCGTTAGGCAATGATTCCATTAAAATATCGATCGCACGCAAATCAAATTTGATATTAATAATTAAGAAAATATATTGAGCAAGCAAGGAATTCAAATGAAAGTTATGGCTGGACAGCAATATGTACAATAATATCAGCTGATTGGAGTATGAGAGGTAAATTTGCATCTAAAATATTCAAAGTAAATACAACTCGACAAAATAGACATTCCATGGCAGGTACTTTGTTATCCAGCGGTGCGAGGTTTATGCTATCTCCATCACCAAATTTAGTGTTATGCAGAATAAACGAATACGATTTTTCAATACGCTCTTCTTTATTGATCAAATTTTATGCCAATACAATATGGTAATGTGTGCAAAGACATGATAGTGGACAATAACTATTCAATATCAATGGAGTGTCGCATAAACTGCCATGGTTGCAACCCCGCATGTATTGTGATTGTTGCGTATAAGTTTCATGTATCCATTATCTCCCCAACTTGTACCCCAGCTGCAGATTGGTTTCACAATGTATGAAACGCCTAAGTGATGTGAAACAGTCTCACTTCAAATTGGATAAGGCTAAATAAAAAAGTTAAAATTCTATTTGAATTGACAGATTACCTATTTTTGATTAGCCAGTAAGGAATGCGTTTTTTGGTACCATCTCTTTTGATCACTACATCTGTGCCATACCCAACAATCAATACTGCATGATTAGGCCTATGAGAGCAGTGTTTAGGTGCATACACTCCTGAATGCAGCTAATTAATCAGATGAATTTATATTCGATTTTAAAATCAAATCTCTAATCTCCATTATTTGAAAAATAAGGTTGAAAATGCAATATATTTTACCGGATTTGTAGGTTGATATCCCACTAGCATCTATTCCAACGGATATTGGTCCAACTGTAGCAACAGCCTCAGCAAGTTTCTTCTCATCTCCGTAAGGTAATCTGACTATCCCACTGGCAGTTGCTTTACTGTACAATCTGGAATATCTGCAAGTGCCTTCCACTCCCTCGTAGGGATAATCGTCTTCACCGTCAATGCCATTATTGTCTATTACATATTTAATAGCCTGCAGTAAAGACAAAAAACGTGACAGTTTTTTATATATTTTCCCATAGTTTGCACATAGTAGTTGCTGCTATATTTAGCATCCTCTTTTGCCTTTATTCTGCGATTTACGATATGAATTTGGAAAATTAAGCAGATATGAAATAGTTAAGGAACAAAAAATGAACGAGGATCGGAATTGACTAACACTAGCAGGTAGGCCTCCATCGCACCCTTCATTACCATACTTGCTGGTGCTGCAGTCAACGAGATTCTGTTCAGAAAGCGAAACTAAATGTCCGGAATGGTTGAAATTCAGCCCTTCTAAAACACCTACTGCGCTGAACGCCCAGCAACTTCCGCAGTACCCCTTTAACAAGCAGTCGTTATTGCTTCAAAACATTACTAATATTATTACTATTATTAATTAACGTTGTATTTTGTCATCTACCACCGAATAATCTTATTTTCATGAACTACTGCAGACATTTTAAAAACATTACTTTTGCCAACTTTATCTAGCGATTAATTATTGCTGTATAACGTTGTCTAACAAGCGTTGTACTTGCTGGGGTTAACTTTGTTAGCTTATAATTTTCTCCCAACAAAGCTCACTGTAGACTTCACTCATAACGTTTTCCAAACAGTCACAAATTAAATTCATTAATTTAATATGCAATAGATGTAAACTAATTAGTACTTTGATGGAACACTTTTCCCCGATGTATGCTAACGCAAATTTATCATTGTGAATATTGTGCATAAATTACAAATATTCTGTTGGATGATCAATACCTGATCTTTCACGGGAGTGACGTAACCTTTTTCACGCCAATCAACTTTATCCGGAATATTAACACGTTCTATAAAGTCATAAGGTCCTTGACGATCAGAAAAATGTAATTTTTCAGGTTTCAAGCCATTCAGTTTTTCGAACTCTTCAGGTAACTACAAATCATGGAATTTCATTAATTAGCACATAAGTGAGATGAGAATTCAAAATTCAAGCACTGGAAATTGTTCACTGAGAAATTGGTTAGATCTGCTTTTCATAATAAGATATGAATATAAAAGATTTGTTATTAAAAAGCCATGTGTGAAATGATCAGTGAAGAAAGGCAAGTAAAGGATAGTGCAAGAAAGTATGAAAATACGTGAATTATTGACTCCCTCACTCACCCAATCAGTGAACTTATTAATACCCATTTCGTATGTTTCTTCTCCAAGTGCAAAACGTTCGTTGTGATCTTTAATTTTTTTCGCATTCTCGAGAAACGTCATGAATCGGCGGTATTCCAAGTCAATTTCTTTTTCCTCGCTTTTAGCTTAAAACCAACGATACATCTGACATTCAAATTACTCAGTTTTAACTATCTGATTTTTAACTTTCCATCTCACAGTTTAGGCCAAAGTATAGCTCATCACGGGCACGTCACTTCACACTCTCACACTTACAGTTCTAAGATGTAATTCTTTGAGTCGCATATACTCACTGCAACGTGTCATTGTCATCATCTTATTTTGCTAACTTTTGTTAAATTCATTTTTAATCGATGTGCGATAATTTTAGGATGTAATGTTCTATTCCTCCCTGCGTAGTCGTGTGAGGAATGAGATCAAAAGATCAGATTGTTTTGAACTTAAGTCTATTTTGTGACTGTTAGATGACAAGAAAATAACCATATTCTTGTTTATAAAGCTTGTACGCCGCATACTGCTGCTTCAAGACCAATGATTCCAGCTTCCGATCCATCAACATATCAAGTCTAAAAATATCCCGAAAAATTCAAAAATATTTTTTATTGCTTTACTTTTCTGCTGCGCAAATTCTTATATTTCTTGCTGTACTTTCTGGTGCTGAAATACACTAAGTTACACTCAACCAATGCAGGCAGTAAATTATGCGCTATTTTAGTGAATATTTACTTTTTTACGTGATAAAATTACCCATTTGTTTTATTGATTTCAGTTAATTTCTGATACAAAATTCGTAGAAGTAATAGAATAGCAAGATGAATTGATAAAGAGATGGACATACTTCGAAACGCCTGCATTTCTTGCAGTGCAGACGGAAGAAAGCAAACCGATGAGAAGGAAAATGAACGAATTCTCCATTTTAGGAAGGTTAGTTTGAGTTTTTGCTGAATCCATCCCTGCTTTTTATACAAGTCTTTGAGATCACTGATGCGTTAAAATTTTGATAAGAATTATCAAACAGTATTAAGAGGAATAAGCAAAAGTTTGAATTCATTGCTTATTTCAGCAGTGCTCTATGCATTTGGGTGACCACACATTATTTTTTCCAATATTTGATTTTAGTATCAAAGTATTTAGGACTACACTTTGTTTCACATCTTATAATAATGAATTCTTCAGCTTTGCGAGTGCACAGTTTATTTATGAGCTTAAAAGTTTGATATAATCCGTAACACAATATTCCTTACAGTAATGAACACTTCCTGTCGCTATCACTTTTGAACTTGCACTTTTTTAATCGCAAAGAAACATCATTCGACCTCGCATCTAGTTTCATCTTTGTAGTCAGTGCTGTAACAGTTGGTCGCCTGTGCCCCATTACTGGTAAAAATAGTGGAAGTATAATTTCAGAAGTAATATTTGTAATTCTGAAGTGATTTCTTTGAGTAAAAACAATTCTAAATTTCATTCAAATCTTGAAGACAAAAACGCTCGAGTTCTCCAAGTAAGTAAAAACAGTTCACGTTTGTTTCTGTCAAAATTTTTTTCATTTTTCGTCATGTTGAAAATGCTTTCAAATAAATTCTATTAATGAAGCAAAAAATAATATGGATTTTCAGCATACTCAAAACAGCAATTATGAATATAAGATCTGGATGTTGTTCCCAATAATAATATAAAATCAGCAGCTGTTAAGTAATCAAGATTTTGATTACGTCTTTACTGGAACCAAATTCAGAGCTACAAAAAAAATGCGCCTATTTATGAAGACAAGATTTGAAGTTCATAATAATCTCGTATTCTAATACATAAATTAAGCCTCTGCCTCTTCGAAAAGAAAATTCATCTTTGTGTTGAAGAAATGTAAGATGGCAGATAAAATTTACAAGATATAACAAATTGCTCCTTTATTTTCTAATATTTATTAGTTTTCGGAATAATTAAATAGAATGATATTCTAAACGCAATCGAAAGTATCGACGAAGTATGCCATTAGCTGTTATTTGTATAGTATGACTTTCAAATCTTATCTTGCTGCTTTTTGTGAAATTTGACAGTATTGGGAAAATTATTAATGGGAAGTGAATTCAGAAGGCAGATAAGTTTTTGTGTTAACTTCACGTTTGCCATTTCACTAAGAATTTATTGCGTCAAGAAAAATTACAAATGTTATTAGAATTTCAATTCACCTCATTTTCCATGGGAAGACATAACTTTAAGACATGAATTTATAACTTTAGGTCGAATGCACAGCTGGTTTTCCATGCTATATAAGCAGTTTTTGGCATTTAAAGCGAGCAAAATATGATGTATTTTATATTTTAGGGACCGCAATTGCATAACTTTATTAAATTTAAGATCAGTAACGATTGTAAACAGGACAGAGTAATTAAAGGCTTCGAGTATTTCAGATAAGCCGTTTTCAGTTGAAATAAACCTCACTCCTCAAAGAAATGAGTGATATAAATTTGAGGTAATATGGAACGAAATTTCGGGAACACACTCATTTTCTACAATAACTAGAAGCGCGATCTCAATCCACATATTGTAATGAAAGATTCGAAGTTACTCAAATAAGAAGCATTAAAATAAAGCGGCGATAACTAGTATAACAATTTTGCAAGCACTTAAAAATTATTGTAGCGTATATGCAACTATATAACTAAAGAAAGCGCTTTCAAGATTTCTAGTAATAAAGTTTTCAACAAAAATTTGACTACACAACACGATACAGACAATAGTTAAATTAGCATCGACTAAATTCTGAAAATAACTGACATGTTAAAATAGAAAGAAGCACAGAAAACAGTTATCAAATTTTTCAAATATTCTATTCATTTCCCTAGACTCGATCAAAAAAAGTAAGTCGACAAACTTCCACAATGGCTGTATCTCCTTTGATTTTTCGTATAATTACTTCATCCAAAGCAAATTTATATTTGGATAGCATTCGACTCTGCAAAAAGCGATAACAATGGGAGATTGAAAAAAAATATATATATATATACCAATTTTTTTTTTCAAATATACTGCTCGGCTTTGCCGAGTTGTCGAGCGGATAAGCTCCTAAGTTAGTCGAATCGTATCACAAAGCAGGAAATGGAGGATACGGGAAAAAAACCGAGCCTGGAATCATGAATGAAAACAAATGCAAAACAAGTGAGCTTGCTGAAAAAAGCTTCGTGAAGAATCTGTGAAAGCACTCCATCAGTGTACCAAAACCAACAGACCTGAGTACCAGACAAGTACAACGAGAGTGCCAGGACACGATTTAGCACCAGTACTAATAACACAAAAAAGATGATTGACCTTCATGTGATATTTATTATATAAAACTTACTGCAGGAAGGAAAAAACGATGCTGCATAAAGAAGAGAGAAATGCAGGTCTTCAGTAAATTAAAGGCATAAACTTGTTTCTTCATTCATCTTCTCGTCAGTAACTCGAAACATTGTAGCATACAATCCAAATGTCTGGGCTTAAAATCTCACCTGAATCGATTCAGCAAAGGTTTTTTCTTGTTGATCAGTCATAATTTGTCTACGATGAGCAATTTCTTCATTATTTTCAGGAAAATCAACAAGAAAGAAAGCCTGAAATGAGATTTCATAATGATCCCAAGGCCACTATACTACAAATACTGAGAAAGACTTGCATCGAACAATTTAAATACTGAAAACATTATGAAACTCAACTTACCAAAAGCTGAATAGGGAACAGGAAGTAGAAATTCTTGCCTCCAACATCCTGAAAGACATAAAGTTTGGATACCCTCATTAAATGTAACTTAAGCAAATATGCAGCATGTGGTGAGCCAAGCTACAAAGACTTTTTAGTGCTAACTTAAAATCTTGATCTATATGGAATTTTTTTTGATAAAGAAAAAAATTCAAATAAATTAATCATTCTTTACAGATCAGAAACCCTTAATATTCATAAAGAATTAGCAATGACATTTCTGAAAAATATAGTATCCGTGCATGAAAAAGAAGCTCGAATAAGTGAATAGTTCGACAGAAACTAGACAACTACTATTAAAAATTATGCCTGAGCTACTTGTGAGTTTGAAACCAACATTATTTTGAATGTATTAATATTCTGAGTCTACAGGAAATGAAGAATACTTTATTCCAAAAGTTAAATTTTTAAAAGGCAAAATAGCTGATATAAATCATGTTACCTTGTATGGTTCTCCCCTGAACAACACAAAGCGTTGAAGAAATAAGTACGAATCTTCAATTCCACCTAAAAAAGAATTAAAGCTTATGTAAGTTTGATTTTCCTAAAAATGAATCAACTTAATTTATAAGTAAAATTTAATCTTCAGAGATAAAAGTGAAGTAACAATTAAAGACAGATTCAAAAAAAAAGAGAAAAAAAGAAAATCAATGTACGTTTAAAGCAGACGGGGCATAAAGATGTAATATCAAGGCTGGTAAATGATGTGATATGCCAGAGGTTACATTTGTTACAGAGCAAGACGAACAAGACTTTTGTTGTTTTCTCATAAAGAAAATTAATTTCCCACCTGAAACAATTGTGATTAAAGTTAATTTTTATTAAAGGAACAAACGGAATTTATATTTCATAAATTAGGTTGGGGACTTTCTCAATCAAGCAATTTATTACCAGACTGTTACACTGCATATTTCGAAACGCAGATTCTCATTTACATCAAAGTAATGTTAATGGAGGCGCAAATGGATATAAATATTAAAATTTGTTTGAAATAATACTCTAGTAGTTGGCAATGCATATTCAAATATGCAACAGAATTCATCAGTACTTAATTGATTTATATTTAACAAATGATAAAATATTTTCAGGCGATTCAATCAATATCTGCAATTAATGAGTTCAAAAACAAACCTATACAATTTTAAAACTGATCCAGGCAACAAACTGCACAATAAATCCCATGCGATATCATCTTCTGAGCTTTTATTTGATATGTTGCGAGTTTCTGGTCCATGAGTGATGTCCTTTGTGCAAGTAATATTCTCAAATAAATGAAACATATCTATCTAGATGTAAACACAGGAAAAATTTTCATCCTCTCTCAATTTTCGAAAGTCAAAAAATTAAAAAAAACAATTTTATTTTCTAAATTTTATTAATCTTTACATTTCTGTTTTTCAACACAATCATACTTAGCAAATGCAATACTAAAAATCTTCAGTTTCTAAAGAAAATTTTATAAAGTGCAATTTCGATCGTTTTACAGTGAGAAAAACATCTATGAGATGGACTATGCATATAAATAACTTACATGTAACAAATATGAGATCGTTTCATCTATGCATGACGCATTTAAGTAAGCCGTTAAAAAGCAGGCTAGTAAGGTATTTAACAGCTCGTTCGACAGTTTTACAAGCTTTACAAATAAATCTTCAACAAAATTAATAATTTGATTTTTAGCTATGATAATTTATAGAAGTACTAGAATTTCAAAAACTACAAGTTTTTTGCAGGGTTCTTGGAAAGAAAAAATGTAATTGAATGATTGTTTAGAGAAAAAACGTAATTTGAAAAAACATTGCAATTTAGATTAACAAACGTAGGAGAAAAAAAATTGCTAGACATCTGTACAGAAACAAAATTTGATGGAAATCTACACCAGCTTAAAATTTCTCACCTCAATTACATATTTATCACACTACTGATAATGCAGTATCAAATCTTTAAATCTTTAGCATCAAATGACTCAAGTTGCAAATTATGTTTTCTAACACCACGACGAAATAGGGAACAATACCTAACTCTCTTTAAAAACACCACTTACTTTTGTCACTATTATAAAGGCGTTCCAAGAGCTGTCGGACCATGAATTCTGCTGCTCTTAAAGCTAAATTAAATGGCAACTCAAGATGTAAATTGTGATGAAACTTTTTATTTAGGATACAATAAAAAATCCACGTCAACTGCAGTGCATTTATGCGTTTTAATCGTTGTGTGGTCGATTCTATTTGTTGCCTATTCGCTATAACAGTTCGGTCAAACAAACCAACAACAGGGGCGTTAACCTGAAAGATCGAAATTTAAAACTATCAACAAAATGTGCAATTTTTTTTTTTTAAATTCAGCTAGTATTTTAATATAATGAGAAGCAGATAGAAGGAATTAATTGATATGCAACAGGTTCAGTGTTTATTTTTCTTACCTCCTGTTGTAATTCACCAATATCTTCACAGTTTCTAGCAATAACTTGACCTTCAGAACTAATTGACATTGTTTCCGTGCCTTCCTCAGCATTAAATCTACTGATATCTCTTAAAAATTTGTAAATTTTTGCATCATACTTTTGCAACCTGAGAGTTTTGGGTACATGATCTTCCTTAAATACAGCCACCAAACTGTTGAAAACAGCCGTACTCATTTCTTATTTAAAGGTTCAAATATTCATAGAAATTAATGACTGCATATAATGATTATTTTATACACTTCGGAGATGGATGTGATTTATTTACTTAACTTTGACAATAGCAATTTACTTAATTTTAGCATGTTTAATAAAACAACACAAAGTAAGAAAAAAATTTTAATTTCAAAAAAGTCAACTAACTGCAAAAGATTATTTTTAATTATATCGTTCTCTCCAAGAATGATAATCGATCTATTATAGTGCTGACCACCAGTATGCATAGTCAAAGTAATTCCACTTTTTGAATGATAAACATGTAAGTTAACAAGGAGCACGATATCGCCGCACTAAAAATTGTTCCACTTTAGGTATTTTCATGAGATTTTTTTGATATTGCAAAATCTAAAATTTATAAAGCACTGTCTATATTCTTTTAGCTTTACAAACAATCTCTCAGTATTCCTTTCAACTTCGTAAAAATAATCTTAACGGAATTAAAAAAAGTAGATTTAAAGTAAAATAGATGATGCTATCAAAAAATGAAGAAAAAAGGAATTTCAGATCATAATGACAACTTCCGCATAAAACCGAAGGAAAAAAAAACACATTCTATCTTACATTTCTAAGTCTAAAATGTGTAAATAATTTGGGATACCATACTTTTACATTATTTTTAACAAAATCAGCATGTTCTTCATACAATACCACGTCGCAACGGTAGTTCTTTGGAACTTCCTCCAAACTTCTATCATTACACATTACATGTTGAATGGAATCAGCATCAACAGAAAACAATTTCCTTTAATTATTTTCAGATAAAGTAGAACTGCATAAAATAACATTTTATTAATCAGTCTAATAGCAACAATATGTTTTCCTTATAACTAACTGCAAAAAAAGACACATTTCAAAATCTGAATATTTGTGCAAAGAAAAAAGCAATTTCAGGCAATAGATTTTTTGAAAAAAATTTCAACAACTGATTTTTAATTTGAATACCTTTGCACTGTAGTCGTATCCCAACAACGCAGTATTACACTATTTTGAACACTAACAAATACAGATATCACCTAAAAGTGTAAATGAATCCCAATTTAGTTGTCTGAAAATTTTAAAATTCAGTGGCTGCAGTGACTGAAAGGTGAAAACAAGGAAACGAATGGTATAGAAAGTTACGTAGTTTAATAAGCATACCTACTAAACAGAGCAAGTTAAAAGAAAAAACAACAATTACCTGTACTGCAACATTACAGTAACTACCAAGAACAAGCTCATTCAGTCGATGAATTTTTACATTTTCAGCTGCTGCTGCAATTCCTATTCGTTTCTTATTTATTTTATTTTCAGTGATCACCAATTCACCCCGTAAATCATCTTCCGAAGTAATTAAGTGATCTGATACTGCGGAAGTCATTCCAACTCTCAAAGATTGATCCTTTGCGAACAAAATTCGCAATGATTCTATCTCAAACGAACAACACTTTATATATTGCTGTTTTATAAACTAGTATATTAAAATTAATAAATATGTTTGAACCAAAAATCATACATACATTAAAATTCATGTTTCCAGGAAAGTTTCATGATGTAATTAAAAAAACAGCAAAAACCTTTTTTTCATGATCATCTGTCACAGTAAATTTCACCGAAGACTGATACACAGGAGCAATATTATCATTAACAAGCCCACTAAACAAAAGGACAGCGAAGCCTGCTATTTTAAGTTTTCCATAAAGTACAACTTCTCTATCAAATTCTCTTTTTACCTGCAAAAACTACTGCAAACAAATCAAGGAAAAAAAATACTCTAATTCCATTTCTTAAATACTAACAAATTATAAATGAATGTATTAATAATTTCAAGAATGAAATGACTAGATTTCGCTAAAGTAAATACTCATTAATTTTTCAAATTAAAAACAATTAAAAAGCAATCTAAAAAGATAAAGAAAACTTTGATATACCTTAGCACGATGTATCCGAATGATTTGACCTTTTCGTATCTTATCCAAAAAACTTTCAGTTGGTTCATTATAAATCACACACTTTGTAGACCTCTCCAAGCTTCCATCATGCAATTTCAGCTTTGTAACAACAACAGCTGAATGAAATAAAGCTGTGCATATTATGTGCTCACAACACAAATTATTGCAAAATGTCCTTACCATTTTCTCGCCCATCGTCATGTCCTAACATCGTAATCGCCAAGTCGACAACAAGTGCATAAATGTTGACCTATATTTAAAACATCGTATATCGTATTTAAAGCTTTCTTTATGTAAAAATGCACTGGATTCAAAACGAAAATCTTCTCCTGAGAAATATAATCTGATTTCTAGGAATTCTTTTTTTTAGACTCAAAAACTAAAAATTCGCTTGATAACTCAAGAAAGAAAGACAAAGTAATCGAACTTTGACACTACTTCAATTACAAATATGCTACTTAACTTGCCTTTAAAAATGCAGTCTCAGTATCTAGCAATTCTTCCAAATCTGCAAGCTTCACGTAATCATATCTCTTCATGTCAAAGTGCCTAAATAGATGAAAAGTTTTATATCGATATCTACATGAGACGTTGAAGTCTTTACCAATGTTCATTCCCAATTTCTGATAAACATTTGATATAAAACGTAAATTCTATGAAGTCCCAGATACCCTAGATGTCATGAATGAACCTAACAAATTCAAAATCCAGGAAGTTTTATTTCCCTACGAATTACTACAAGCAAAACACATATCCATCTCTCTCATGCAAAAGATAATATTTAAAAATTTTTAACTTTAAATTCTTCTGGCTTGAAGTAACAGTTATTAATGAAAATCATATTTGGCATGTGATGTTCATGAAATTGAAAAAAGAAGTGTCGTTAGAATGCAAGTACAAAAGAATATTCTTTCTTAAAACTTAAGATTAAGCAATTTATAAATGCATCATAATCTTAACTCTTATGAATATTAATGACCCATTTTATTTAATACAATTAAAAAACACGGGACACTGAAAGATTATAGCTCATGAGAATACTTTTAAAAAGCACCAGAAACATGGAACAGAAGAATAAATAGCACAATCTATATTCGTGACCACCATGGAAACTATTTGAACTTAAAATTTCAGAATTGATAAATGCATAATGTGAAAAAATTCACCATCTCAGTAATTTCAACACTAAATAAAGTAATATTAATCCCTATTCCTCTATTAGTTTAAATTAGAAAGTACGTACAACAAGGTATTCTTTCTTAAAACTTTAAATTATTAAGGTAAATAAATAAGTAACGATGCCCCATATATTTATATGCAAGTATTCTAATATCCGAGCATTGTTATACAATGTATAAAATAAATAAAAGGAATTATTGCGCATATCGACATCATGAAGTTTGTTGCATTTGTCTGACTAATTGTAAATCTTCTGGTGAGAGTTTATATATTCTTCCAATAACTACGCGATCTTTGAATGCCTAGAAAACTAATGAAAGTAACTGATAATAAATGAATATGTAGTAAAAACAACAACTGTTAGATACAATACTAAAAACCTTACAAACAATACACTATTATTGAAAACAAAATAGATCGAAATGAATCGGATCGTAAACAAGCAGTAAGAATTTTTAAGCAATTATAATTTATGCTGATATATTTTAGCGCAACAACGGGACAATAGTCTTTTTATCTATTATTCACTCATTTGTAAGAATGTGCGGGCCAAAATGTTTATCATTAATAATGAAGACATGAAATGCCTCAGTATTTGATGAAAAAACTGGTTTATCTTAATTATAAATGATAAATAACAAGTGGGATATTTTTAGGCAACATTACTTATACATTATATTTAAAGAAAAGATGTTTCAGTACTCAAATGATAAAAATACTGTAATTTATATGATTTTGCTACAGTTTTGAATACTCGTCACTGTAGTTGTAATTACTGTTAAAGTAAGGAAAAATGATTGTCAGTTATATTCATATATTTTAAAAAGTGATTTAACTCATTATAGAAAATCAGAAAGGATCTCAAGCTTTTTAAGACTAGCCTTTGCCAGTAACAGATAGTTAGCAAATATAAGTAATACGATAGTAACGATATGTTGCCAATCTGTCGTTAATATTAGCATCCAGAACTGAATACCAATCAGGATAACTTGAAAAAGTGTCATTACCGTTACCAAAAAGACTGGATCCCTCCCAATACGCTAAAAAACATTATATTCGTGATAATGCTGAAAGACTATAACAATTAAAAATTCCCGAATCATAACAAGTTTTTTGAGCACTGTGAGCATATGAATTTCGCATCATACTGAATTTGTTCATCAGAGTCAAATGATTGAAAATTTAATTTTTAATGATGTTGGTCAGCAAAAAACCTTCTTAAATGTAAGTGTGATCTTGGTACAAATCGGTACATTCCGGAAATCACTGATCTGAGAAAACAAAAAATATGCATACAATACTCTAGAATAAGGCTTTTCTCTGTTTCCTTTTAACTTTAGTAAAGTCAATTCATTCCTAATTTATTTTGATAATAAAGGGTACTAACATAGAAACGAGAATGATCTGTATCTCCAGGTTCAGCAGCTACACCTAACGCAGCAGATGCAGCAACAGCTCTATACATTTGGTTTTGATGACGGACAATAGTTCCATCTGCATAAAGCCCATCTCCTTCAGACCAACTGCAAAAGTGATCTTGTTAAATTCAATTTTTGAACGGATAATGAACACTTTTTACCTTACCATTGAAATTGCTTTCTCAACTTTCAAACTTTCTTGCTTATAAAAAATAATATTCATTTTTAAAAATATAAAGTTTTCAATAATTCACTAAAAAACTAAATATGCAAAACAACACAATTTCCAACAATTAATACATTATATACAGAAATAGTTTGCGAAGTGTATAACAACGAAATGCTTTATTCGAAGAATGTTTTAAGAATACATAGTAACGTGATAACTCAAGAGAGTTTTTTCAACACCGATGCTTACTTGACTAATACAGTATTTGGTGCAGAAACACTAGTCGTTGGTGTTGAACCACTGCTGCTACTATGAGCAATGGCATTACTGCTAGTGGTAGCAGTATTGCTGCTTGTTCCACTTCCATTTGTAGTGCTCACAGTCCGATCCACTCGTTCCCATTTACCAAGATGTGCTGCACAACGATGTATCAAATCACAGTATTGTAATGGTAGCAAATATGCTGCATAAAGTGAAAATGATGTCGAAAATACGACACAAAACAATTCTACCACCCACAGAATATCAATATACATTTGTTGCGATAAACCAGATGGCGACCGCTGCTAAAATTTAAATTACCATTGATCTTAAAAAAATTCAAACTCAATAATATATTCATCTCAATAATCTCATCAACAAAGTGTAACAAATTATGGATAATAAATAATTTATTTATTCTGCAAACAGTGTTTCTACTTCCTAAACAAGTAAACAATTGACAAGTAGAAAAATTGAATTAACATTATAGGTACCAATATCACGCATAGTTAAATAAATAATGAAGGATTTTGCTGCGATAATTATGAGAAATAAAAGAAAAAAGCTTACTGGAGTGAATACACAAGGAATGAAAATTGAAAGATAAGCTGTTGTTAGACCAGAAAAAAAGCAATGCTTCAGTCGCAAATTTAAATCCTTTATTAAAACCGAAACTTCTTCCCGTATTTGTGCTGAAATTTATTACTTAACATCTATTCTGAAAATTTCAAATTTTATCTCCGATATTTGCAGGAATAGAAATACCAATACCACATACATGGATTCGTACTACACATATGCACAACACTGTCAATGTCAATGAGTGTAGGTGGGCTCATTTTACGATACATTGCAGTTACTTTTGATAATTCTGATGTCGAACCCCCATTAAGAAGAAACCAAAATTTTGCATTTAGGCAACGCACTTTAAACGATATGTCGCCATAGAATAAGTATATGAAGAAAAGGACCCTTAAAATAAAATTTCTTTCATTACTGACAGTTAAATGAACGGTAAACAACTATTCTGATTGATATGTGATAGTTTAACTAATAAGAGGAACTGTTAAAGTATTATCGTTCATTATTATTATTAATCAACCAACTACATATGATAGCAGGACTAGCTTCAAAAGCATCAAAAAGTAAATAATTAAAAAAAAAATTATAAACAACCTTATGGGCAATCATATTATTTTCAGCTTATTCCGTCAACATTAAATTTCAAATGAGGCTCATGTAATAAGGGTAAAATATAAAAAAGTTCGTGATTTTTTTAGGATTCAAAATCAAAAACAAATCATGATGAGATAAAGCTCACGGATGCCCAAAAGAAAGTAATGATTTGAAGGGATAATCGAAATAAACGCGAGAAAAACTGAAAAGAAACGATGTTGCAACCATCGTGAACATGGGTGTTTTCACTGCTGCCCATTCAACAATATCCCATAAAAAACATTGAGTTTTCGATCCATTCTGCTTTGCACTGGTTGATAACTCAGTTATCTGTTAATAACGATTGACAAAATATTTAGCCTAAACTAAACTTTAAAAATTTAATTCTTCAGAGGTACAGCTTTTATTCCTCATAAATATAACAAATTTCGTCGAGAAAAAAGAAGCACAGAATATAGCATACTTACCGTATTCCAAAAACATTTTGTTACTCGCATTCCAAGTAAAAGACCCACACAAGATAGTAAGTATGGGTTTATGAGATGGAATTTCTAAAATAAATAAATGAAAAAACTTGATGAAGTTTTATAAATGTATTCTTTTTTTTTAAAAACATGTAGAACTTTTAAATATATTTTCTACGCATTCTGTCACTTAAATTCTTCCATTCCGCTATTTTCAGGCTAATTCTTTGTTAAATGAATCACTATATTTCCATTATAAGATGAGATTTTAGCTCAATAAGAAGCACTCAACATTAAAAGTCTATCAAACACTTTTGTGAATTTTACGACATAAAAATGACTGAAATGATATGAAACGTGTAGAAATGGATGTTATACAATGAAAATAGTCACCATTGAATAATGCCAATAAGATTTCGGAAGCCACCACATTGTTTTATACAAATTGAGATATTGTAAAAATAGAGCTAACACAGAATAAAGAAACAGTGTACACTCGAAGAATAATTCCCCCTGACCTTGAGGCATTTCTGGCCAAACTGGATGAATCTGCATAGTTGAGCCTGCGAAATCATCACTCCTGAAAAACAATCCTTTCATATTTTTTGTAGTAAAAAATGAAAAAAAATACTGCAATTCACAAAATTTTTTGCCACGCTGTTACCATCAAGAAAACTGCTATTATTATGATATACAGAAATCATATAAATCAATACTAAAGTGAACTTCAAAACCTTTAATTCCCATCAAAAAATTCTTGCTAATCTTAAAACTAACAATACCAAAAAATTTTAATAAAATCGGTCACAGAAAAATAAGATCATACATAGACGACTTAAAAATTCAAACTTATACACCTTTTCCTGTCTTCAAATCTCGCAACGCTACCAAGTGTCGATTGCGGAATGGAAACAGACGGCCGACTATGATGCCTATTACGTATAGTTGAACGTCCCACCATACTAATTTTTTATCCCTCAAATTTCACTACAAATTTTTAATGATATCGTTGTTTTCATGAAAATGAATATGAGAGAGCAAACAAATCTGAAGTGTTGTCTGCATGGTATCGCATTTAACACTGGAAATCAAGTAATACCAGCAATAATAAGTACCACATTTGTTCGTAACTAACATTTATACAGCTCTCAAAAATAATTTTATGAACAGACCTACTCACTGCAACACAGAATAAAATGTACTAGCCAACTGATGAAAAAGGTTACGCATCTTCTACCTTCTCGTCATGCTCCAAACTTCAACTTCTTTTACAGACACCGAGCCATAACTATATATCACTACTCTTATGCTTACTTTCCTCACAAGGCAACTTTCCAATAAACTACCTGGTAATTAAATTTTGAGTAAATTGAATGCTTTCTGCGCTAGTTACTAATGACTTCATGAAATAACACTGTAACTTTCCCGGATTTAATTCTGAATATGACGATGCACGCAGTGCTATAAATATACTCCACCTGGTGGATCTTATAAGCAGGAAACTATTATCTCGATCCTAGCTTCATGAGAAATCAACTTTTTATTTTTCGGTTTTTCTTCTGACAGAAGTTTCAAGAACTGAATTACAAGTTCGGACGGATCGATATCAATATTCTTGACTTAGTTAATTTCGTAACCCAACAAAATTAGCGAAAATGTTTAAATATTACTGCAACAATAAATCCAATAATTACACATCTGACAAGCTCTGTACCTCGAGTAAATACAAAAGGATAATGCATAAAATAAACCATATATAGTAAAATGCACAAAGTACAGAGCAGTGGTAAACAAAGACTAGGAAACTACACCAAATACAGATTAGCTTCAGTGTTTAAGAACTGTTAAGGAAAACAATAAAAAGCACCAAATTCATTTTCCATGAAGTTCTATAACTGAGAAGAAGGCGAATATTCTTAACCAGTGCAGATAGACAGATTGATTGATTAATCGAAGGATATACGGGATGGTTATCTTCTTTTCCAGACAAGTAGCACCATTTAAACTTGGTCTCGAATATGAAAACATTTCAATATACAAAAGCTCAAAATTAGTTTTGCAACTCATCATAGACTTTGTTAAAGTTAAGCTAAACCTGAAGAACAAAGATCGATTCTCTGACCACCACAAAACAATGGGAATCACAATCACCAACAGCAACAATAACAAGCATCAAGTAACAAAAAAAAGCTGAAAATCTCACATATTACCCAAGATAGAAAACCACTGTACATCGTAAATGGACAATTTGCAAGCAACTCTCAGATCACATTAGTGTGCATCCAAAAACTCACTAGTACTAGCATCATGTGATGCAAACAGTACCAAAAAAATCAATAGTTGAAGACACGAACATGTATGCAGAATAGACTACATCACAATAAGAAAATATTTTTGCGACTTGGCGTAATCCACCTGCAGCATGGTGAAAAATATTTGTTCCCAAAACCGTTCAACAAAACTGATCAAGAACTTATTTGCTCACCAATTAAAACGCAAAAACCATTATTACTACAAATAATACAAATCAAATAAATGAAAGATACTAATTCGAACCCTTCCAACAACACCCTATTAGATTTCAACTAATTTACATAAGCACAAAATTCCTACGCAATTACTCTCAATTCGCTGTACTTAAAATCTGTAAGTTCAGGAATTTTCATGAACAACATCCTCATGCTTCATATTTTTTCCGCTTCCATAACAAATTAACAAGAAAAGCATACATTCGATGCAGTTGGATTCACATTATTTGTTATTTCACATAAAATGAAGGGAGAAATCACTCTAGATGGCTTAATACTCAGAAATTACTTTAACATCACGATATCTGAACAAACAAATCTCAAAGATATACAGAAGGCAGAAGCAGCATTTGCTACATATTTAAGGATATGAAAAGTGTATGAAAAATGACATTCAAAAAATTGAATGATGAGCAATATGAAATCGCATACATAAAAATACAATACGATAACATCTAACATTAATGAAAGTTACCAACAAGATTAAAGATAAACGCACTTTCAATGCCTACAGAATAGCAATTCTAAATACAATTTTTTTTCCTAAGTCGCCAAGATTATGTCATTTGATCTGAAACCTTTTATTGTATATTTATCTTTGGTACTTAGTTCGCGTTTATCAGTAGAAATATTAATTACTAATATAAATTTTTGAAAAATTACTCATCTTCAATCAGAGTAGTAATTACATTTATCAAAACAACAAACAAGCAGACAAAGAAAACAATTTGGTTTGAACAATTTAATTAAAAAATTGAATATGAAATTTACGTTACCTAATCTCTATTTTTATATCGAAAGTATAAGTGAAAAACAAAAACGTTGCTGTATTTTTTTACATATTATAGGCGACATAAATGGGATCAAGCATGTCTTTCAAAAATGCATCCCTTAAATGCATGCGTTGCTTTTCTCCTCGGCTGTTTATTGGCACCACTCCCGGATCAACAATCACTACAACACCAACAATCAAATGATGTTCTTCAAGAACACTCGATGTTATGGCTGGTACTAAATCTAAAGCCTCAGCTTCTGAACCTTCCGTTTCTGCAACAACTACCAAAAGATGTGTCCACGTGAATACAGCACTGAAAATTTCAAATCTTCAAATACAGATAATATTTTAAAAACTCAAAAATTTTTTAAATATAGACATTCAGAAAAAGCATTATAAACATTCATATCAAGCAAGATGGATTTCACCCCTTATTTCGTTTTATGTAAGAAAAATTTACTCATCATTAGGAAAGAATTCAATTAAAATAAACAGAATCAGAATCAAAAGATCTATCTGATTAATGAAGACAACAATATGTCATAGTATATACGAAGTTAAATCTAATACAAGAAACTAAACTAAAGAACTCCATTTCTGCATGAAAATAGCGTATTAATTTTCAAATTCAAAATTCCTGTAGTATATTCAGCTGGGCTCATTTTTGAAATATCACTGCGACTATACTAACCATTCCGAAATTTTTCGATGTGCCCGTATTACCGTTGCTTCGATATCCACCGGATGATATCTCATTCCACGCAGCATTAATGCTTCATCTAATGCGCCAACAACAAATACAGCATCATGCAATTCTGCATTAATATTTTACACCATTACTAAGGTATTTGGTAAGAAATTCAATTCAATATTTTTGTACATTTCGAAAATAGACGCACTAGATTAATGTAGGATTTCAACAAACACGATCTAACAAATACTGTGAAAAAAATTAAGAAATATCGATGAGTATGAAAATATCTGAAAGCAAGACGTTCATTCAACTAAACTTCATAAAACTTTCACTGGTGAGAAAAATTTAAGAACAGATATAACTTATACTTCAATTTCAAAAATCTGGGACATTATACTATACAAACAGCGAACCTCCATCAGCTGTTATGGATTGTGTTTGTCGTAGGAAGCCCAAATAACCAGTGCGCGCAAAGCGTTTTCGAGTATCCCCGGTAGTCAACATGAAAAATAATGACTGTACTCATTATCGTGCTATGGCACCATCCAATAAACAGCTCAATAACATCATGATTAACTAGGCGCATAAACATGAGATTAATGACGCATGTTTCTCTCATTTTATTCAACAAAACTTGAATAAATGCAAATAATTCCTAAAATTTACATAAATTTGGGAAATCTGTGTCAAAAGTCTCCTTTTTCAATATTTCATCTATATATTTATAATGAACCAATCCCATTACGTTATATAATTCCTCATGACCTAATGAAGTTGGCTTACAACTTTAACTGTATAATGAAATAGAACTTCTCACTGCAACATTAATGTTTTGAGAAATGAGAGGAACATATCATTCGAAAAAAACCGATGACAAAACGAGGAATGATCGATCGACAGGTGAGACATAAAATAAACAGGAGCAAAATGATTGTTATAGTCTAATAATTGAGTATCATATTACCTTGCATTGAAGTGATCACTGTGTAAAGATGCTTCTTCGCCATATAATGTGAAATAACCAAATGCATTATGAGAACATGCTACCCAAATTTCACCCAAATGTGAATCAGCACACTGCCCCCTAGTTTCAGGATTAGCAATTACTACCTCAACACCAGGCAGCAACTAAAATGTGTTTTAAAAAATGATAAGCATTTCAAAAAAAATCAAATTAAAATGAAACATCATTCATGTTTCATTAAAAGCTTACTTTTCCACTTTCCATCAATGCAATACTGTGAGGTGCACCTTTTTCCACAAGTGTAACACGATCATTACGTAATGCTCTTGCATCAACGTAAACTGTTGCTGGATCGGGACTTGCTGCTCCTTGCATACAAATGGCTGTGTTTACCTAAAGACAGATCACAGTTACTATGAAATTATCATATAGAAACAATCAAGCTTGAGAAAATTCTGCATTGTTTAATATAAATATAAATAATAGATGCTATTTAACGTCAGAAAAGATTTCCTTTCAATAAGAAGTAAGCACATATTTGCGAATTCTGCACACATTATGGAAAATGAGAACTACGGATTAACTGCCGAAAAAAAAAAACAAAAAACACGCGAAAATTTTGATGTTCTGCTCTCTATGCACGATTTTACAAGAAACAAAAGTTCAATTAACAATTTCAAAAGAGGCGACAAACCCGACAACCAAATGAAGTGGAGACAGCACGTGAATTGAGGCCCAGTGGTGCAAATAGTTTAGAAAATGCTGTACATAAAGCAACTCGAGGACGTTCTTCAGCAACTACAACACACGTACGCACGCTGAAGATAAAAATTCCAAATAGAAGTACAGTAGAATAACTGCAGAATTTCGATATATCACCAAAAGAGAGGGGTCTACTAAAATGTAGGAAAAAATGTGTAATCTGAATCAAAGTAAGTCATTTCGGTATAGTGACAAAAATGAACTGATTTATAGATGAAAAAAATATTCCAGATCTGAAAATTTGAATTAAATCTCATAGCGCAGATAAAACTATAATAAGTGACAGCACGAATTAACAGTGCCTCGCAAAAAATTTAAGTGCATTAAAATTCTATAAAACTATAAAGAAATGGAATTTCAGATATAATATTGCTTTACGCTCTTACCATGAAAGTGAAACACCTTTTTCTTTCAGAAGTGAAATTTGAGGAGCCAATTCTCGAACACACAGTTCCATTACTCCATAAGAGCAAAAGGTGTCACGAACTGAATACATTATTTATTGAACAAGCAGAAGTAATAACAACAAGGATTAATTTACAGATGTAAAAGCTTCAATTTTTGACAGAAAAAACCGAAGAAAACTGCACTTAATAATTAGCGACCTCATTCAACCCTTTTGCATATTTAATCAAATATCATTTGTTTTCATGACAGATGATGATGGAAAAAACATTAATCTCAGAGAAAAAGAGATTTCTAACATATGGCTCATGATAAAAATGAAAAATTTTTGTAGCAGAGACCTTTTCGTTGAGAAACAGCAGTCAACCATAGCGCAGAATTTTGTTCAACTTCAGTTGGCGGAATCAGCAGAGAATGATGACCGGAATAAACTCTGGAATCAGTACAGTAATAAATATTGATTACATGAAATGAATGAATTTAGTTTCGTATCAAATCAAAGCATTACTTTCTTTTTACAAAATCAAAATGTATTCTTCCTTTTTAATCAGTATAAACAATTTAAATGAAGTTCTTGCACTTTTCTAGTTATAAATATCAAATAAATAAAAGGAAGAAACTGTTTGGTGACACATTAAAACTATGACAGTTTTTATGAAGGAGTTTGCAAACAGAAAGTAAGATAACAGCTACACTTTTACAAAATGAGTTTACCCAGCAAGACACCACAATGCTAATCCGAGACCACAATATGGATCAAGACATAATGTTATGTGTCGTGAAGGGTACAATTCACAAGCTATTTTGAGACTTCTACATAATGCTGAGGCACCCCCAATACTAACGACAATACCAGCTAGTTGTCCTGTAGTACTTACTGAGAAATCCTGAAAATTTCAAATACTTTATTTACTGCTGATTATTCTAGACCAAACTACGTAACACTTCAAAATTCACAACTCTGATGTAATACGTACCAAGTAGCATACATCGGTTGGCTTTCTATCAAAATATTCAGGTTCCCATCTCCTCTTACTAAGTGATGAAACGTCGTCGACATCAAGAATAGTAGGCCAAGCCTGTTAATATTGTTTTAAATACTAAGTTTGTCACGCAAGTACGTGAAGGTTGTAATGAATAATTATTTTTTTATTGCTAGAAACTGACCTTAGCATCTACTCTTAAAGAAGCTTCTTTACATTTAAGAAGCTTAATAAGAGATGATGTTGAGATCACGGCAACTGCTTTCGAAACATCTACAATCATTCGCACAGTAGGCAAAGTTGTCTGAAGATTATGTGGAAAAGGCGGTCGTATACAAACGGGGACCAGACCTAAAACTATTTTTTTATAAATTGAATGCATATGAAAAAGCAATAATATTCAATAACAATATATATAAAATTCAAACTAAAAGAATATTAACAAATGTAAAAGTTTCATGAAGCTTCAAAACTTAGTTCTGACTAATAGCATCTTTTGAAGCAAATTTTACTACAAAATTCAATTTAAAACACTGAAGTTAAATGAAATAAAAGAACTGACCTGCTACCTGACACCCATAGAAGGCTGCAATTAAATCAATTCCAGGTGGAAAAATCAAAGCGACATGTTCGCCCGAATTTAATCTTCCTCTGTCAATTAACATTGAAGCAATGCGTTCTGCTTTCTTCAACAATTGAGCACAAGTTGTACTTTCTGTTTCCGTTCCACGAGAATTAATTAAGGTGAATAAAATATGGTCGGGAGATGTTTGCGATCGTTGTCGTAACACTTCTACTAAGCTAGTTATCTAAACAACAAAAGAAAAATTGTAAACTGTATAGCGTTGCCCTGTAGAAAAAAGTAATATATTCCGCAAATAATTTGAAAATTTTACTAGCTCATATTTTAGAAATAAAATACAACTTCAAAAATTCCAAACTGGACTTCGTTACTTTATCATCATCCATAGTAATCTGCCGCCCTCTAGCAGCTGCAATACGTACGCCCTGAACAATGTTACCGACAAACATAGCTGCTGGTCCAACATCACACTGTTGTTCACGAGGTTTCGGTAAATTAATAACACAAGTATGAGGGCACATGAGAAGCGTAGTTGGATGTAAAATGCCGTCGATAAATCTTTGTCGAGTTTCAGACACATGAATACCACCAAGTGGTGTCTAAATGATAAAATACAATTTTTAAGCTTGATATTTTTATTTGCTAGAATTCTTTCTTGTTTGTAGAGCCTTAATGCATGTGTCTCTTATATTTAGCGCACCATCACAACTTCTAAATTGGATTCCGAATTTAAAATGGCGTAAAACTCTTTGAATATAAAGACTAATGAAAAGTCTAAAAAAGAAGAAAACAACTTTTAACCACTTTCAATTCAAATTCCGAGAGCAATTATAATCCAAAAATTTACTTTGGGTAATTGATTTGACGGTACAAGAGCTAAGCAATAAATTCCAACTTGATGAATGCTATCGACTGCTTGCAGTACACGACTCATCCACTGAAACAGGTTTCTCATGAATTGACAATGAATAGAGCATAGAAGTAAATATTAAACTGCTGACGAGTGATTTATGAGAATTACAGTTCACTGCCTTCAACTGTCTAGTAAAAATATACAGTAAAAACTTATCCAAAAATCTACCACTATTGCATACTGATTTATCGATCTTTAAAATTATAAGCCAAAGATTTTATAAACTTGAAATCAATGCAGTACAAAAAAATAATTAAAAACATTACACTGAACGAATCTTCTTCTGACACACCCGGTTTCTGTTCAGCCACTATGCATATTCGTTCATCACGTAAAACATTAATCGAAAATACGGCTATCCTCCCTCAAAAATAAATTCTATTGATTCGTTTTACGAATGATTTTAAAAAGTTATTCTTTAGGAGTAAAAGAAATTTGACAATGTCTTTCATAATAAAAAACCATTACATAAAGTGAGATTAGGCATAAAATAACAATTTATGAAATAATTACTTTGAAGACCAGATAAAAAATCGACAAATTTATACGAACTTTAAATTGGATGTGAAAAATTTGTTTAACTTTAAAACCTATTACAGTAGATTACAATTTTACTAGAAAAACTAAATAAACAAATACCACGGTAAATAAATTTCATTGGCTCAACAGCCAATACCGTTGCAATCAAATCATCGGCACCATGCTGTCGACCTGATACATACATTTGCGAATTGCGATTTCCCACAACAAAGACCAAACCATTCTTTAAATTAAGGTTTTCAAATTTAAGCAATAGTAAAAAAACATTCGCTGAAACAGAAAAAACTTGTGTCAGTAACATTCAAAAAAATACCGGCGCGAGAAATCCCAGTAATCCACTGCGAACGTACGGTACTGGTCCCAATGGCTTATCATTGTGGTTTAGTGGTTCTACCTTGATTAACGTGAAATTTCATTTACATAAATAAAGTAGAGACAAATTACAGTGAAATTAGGAAACACTAACTGATGCTGCAGTAAAAAAATGATAAGTGCTTGAAACAAAGATTTATGATGCATTAGTACGTATTAAAAGAGAAAGTACTCGAAAAGTGTTCATTGATAAACCATCGAGGCCCCAATACGCAGAACCTGTGCTGTGAGCATACAAACAAATTTCTCCCACTTCGTCTACACAACATAACCGTGGTGGTCCAAAGAGCTTGATAACAACCACGACACCACCAGTAATAACCTGACCGGCATCCTGAAAATGTTACTAGTAGCAAGTATGAGTAATATTTCATCATTCAAATTCGTTTCGTTGAAGTTACTTAATCACCTGCAGAGTTAATGATGTTAAAGAATTTTCTTGATCTACACGAACAACCGAATAGCTTAAAGCAGACATTGACAAAACACCACGACCAGAATTATGTAGGCTTTCATCAGAGCATGGTCTGTAAAATAGCAAATAAATTTGGTTCACATTATATATAAAACGAGTCCCATTATTTTAAGTTTTTTATTTTTCAGAATTCAAAGAAAAGTAATTTTCGAAAGCACAGCAGAACCTTTAACTTTAATGTCTTTCACACATAACAATCTTTCTCTTTGCAAATCTTTTTCTTTAAAAAAATGCCTTTGTCGATTATCAAATTTTTTGTATAAAATAATAGAATGAAGAAAACCTTCGCACTGATACTGTACCAGTTTCGGAAGAACCAGCACAAGGACAAACTGCACCAGGATGTAAACCACGTGACTGGAAAACAGAAGCAAACTGATCACAAGATGACAAGGACCACGGATTAGCTCCATCAGTCACGAGAATTGAACGAAGAGATGATAGGTTGATATCTTTATGATCACGAGTTGCTAATAAACCCCAATGTAAGTCACGTGACTTCACCAAAGCTGTTTTTGCTATAAAGGACGATTAATTAAAAAAATTAGTTCATGCCAATAATTGAAATGTTTTAACCTTTTCACAATAAATAAAAATCTATTTTACTGTTTAAAAACGAATAACTTATAACTATAATATAAGTAAAGAAGCGTAAAACTTTATCTCCCACTGAAAACCTGTCTATCCATACCTTGATATTTTGTAACCATTAGCATCCATGATGCAGGGTTGATTTTCATCAATGAATAGGGGACAAAAACAACCCGTAAACCGGCAAATACACTCTGTAATGAAAAAAAATGTGCTTTTATATACAAATAATCATTTACAGTTAATACTAGAATTTACAATGAATAATTCACTCCAATTAAAAAAAGTGAAAACTAAAAATTATACCGCTAAAATAGAATGCCAGAGCCCAGCCTCGCGCTTGAAATCAAGAACTGATACCATTGTTTCTGACTCTGAATAATTCATGGCCATCGTTAAAGACCTGAGATAATGAAAGTGATATAAGTGCATCAAAATAAACAGCAAATCAAGAAAATAAAATTTCAGAAAATTACAGAAATTCAAATTAAGCGTAAAGTATACAAAACACGCCTGCAATGTGAAAGCAAGGCTTGACGAGTTATGCACACGCCTTTTACGCTACCTTCCTTATCTGTCGTATACTCGATGTATGCCACAGAATCATCTGTTACTCTTGGTGGTACTGACCAATCTCTTGATGGCTTACTCTAAAAAAACATTGTGGAAGTAAAAGTCTGATATCTACTTTTACGAGACCGCAAGTCTCAATACGTTAAAAAGTCTCATTCAAATTGTATTTAGTTATGTATCCTTCACATATATTAATCGAAACAGACATCATCTTCCAAATCATGAGTCTCCGGATTCTTCATTTTCAAAAATTAAAATTGGTACACAAAGAAAGAGAAAAGGCTACGAAATATTCTCAATCTTCATCAAAAAAAATGATCATTTCATTATGATCAGAATTTATTTAAGTATAACTTTAAAATCTAAAACAATTGTCAGCATCTTTTTAGTTCTAACCTCAACTCATGGATGAAGCTACAACACGAAAAGGCTGATAATATTGTTATTTAACAATTTAAATCAGAAAATGAAAATTTTTATACAACAAACAAAACTAAGTTGAAACATTTGAAATGTAAAGAAAAGAACTCAGATTTTATCTTTCTTAACTTGCCAGTTCTAAAATCAATGACAGCAGTCTGACACACCGTTATAGTGAAAGCATTAAGATTTACTGAAATGACCTGAAAAAGTCTCAAGTAAAGCTATATGTCGTTATCAATAATGCAAAATAATTACGTTTCATACCAAATGTTCGGTTGTGAGCCAAACGAGTTGTGGCCATCCTTTAAAATCGATGATTTCACTTCCTGGTATTGACGCAGCATTAGAATTAGGATAATTTTGGCTACTTGAAGACCGTTTAGGTAGGCCCTTATAACAGGAATCCGAAGTAAGAGCTACTTTTACACCGCAGCTTCCTAATAGAAAACCAAGCTGCTGGATACCCGCATCCTGAATAAAGAAGGCTATACTAAAAGAACTCTACATCATGTAAGTCAAAAATAATGTAATAAGATAAATCATACTCGCTTGCTAAGTGGAACTTCAACAGGTACAGGAATAATTCCAGCCAAAATACATCCATAAAAAGCTACCAAAAATGAAAGAGGTTCTGTATTCGGATAAACCTGAAATTTGATTCGCAAAAAATGCCCCAAGAAATTCAGATTAAAAAAAAGTCAAAGATAAGAAATATGCAAACATACTAAGGCAACTCGATCACCACTTTTACATAATAAAACTTTTTCTTTTCCAACAAATCCAGGAACAAGTTTCGTTAATAACATGTGAGCAACTTTAGTAGCACGGCTTAATAATTTACCTAAAAACAAATGCAAACTTTGAAAAATGAAGAATAATTCAATTCATTTGTATTAGCAATATGTGGTCTAAAATACTGTGCAATATACAAGCTTATGATTATGTTAAATTATACAATAACTGCTTAATATATCATCACGAAACTTGCCATAAGTAAGTGAGTAAGCTGGGCGAGCAGAATGATCTAACACTACAGCTGCTACCATTCTTGACTGCGATGTTCCATACTTACGTAGTGCCGAATCAATTGAACGAGGTAAACTAGTAGAGACTGATGCATGATCACCACGTGCAGGACTAACCATTACACCTTCTGGGCGTGGTGCTGTGGGATCAACAACTCTGGCCAACGCTAAAATTTTCTTCTTTGTTTAAAAATTTGCTAAGCAGAGTGTCTCCTTTCAATAATAACAGGAACTTGAGAATCTGGATTACAAATTTTCTGGTGTTTGAACATTATCCGAAAATCTTGTATGATTACGAAAATAGTATACTTTCGAAACCAACGTTGAACGTTTGATAATTCTAGGCAAGAATTTAATAACTAACCTTCCAATTCTGCGTCATCATCATTGTAATATTCATGTAAAGGTTTCTTCTTCGGTCTCTGTAAACTCATTAATCGGCATTCATGTAAGATATATGATTCGTAGAAATATTTAGAACACTTCAAATCCGACACTTTGACGGATCTTCGTCCTAAGTATAAATTTGAAACTCGCATAAAAGTATTTAATTTTTGTCCCACAAAATCCCGCTCATCAGTAAACCGCTTCAACGATAACTTGTTGTAAGAACGATTTGGATCGAATTTTTTGACAGCCACAGAAATCCCTCTAGTGAGTATAGTTCGTCCAAGAATTGTGTTACGCAATCGATGTTTCTTTAATGAACGTCGTAAGGATTCTAATACAGCTTCAAATGTTTCACTCAACGATTCTGTCGATGTTCGCACAGTACCTGCATTATGTGCTAAATATGCAGTAATACCACTACATGCTGATGGATCATGCGTCCCCGACCACGAAGAATCATTGCTGTCTTGAATAATAAACCACCCAGCTTTCGTTTCTGTGGCTGCATCAACTTTATCATAATTACTAACAGGAACTTGGTTTTTTTCTTCCTCAGCATCATAAACACAAGTTTTGGCCTCACTTCCACCGTGATTATTTGTCATAGTACTTTCTGATAAAAAGGGAATTATGACCGGAATCGCAACATTCACTATCGAATTTTGCAAAAAGACGTAAGGTTGCTAGATTTTCCACCAGAGACTGACAAAATTCCACTTAATGCTAAAGAAATTCCTCGTTTCCGAATGCTGTTTGTTCCGCAATGATCACATATACCGTGTGGGGCGTAAGCTTTCCATTTTGTTCGATTTCTCATTGAAGCACTACATAAACTGGTCGCAAATATTCCACAATAGAAGTATATGTAATGAACCTTTCTGGCGCTGCTTGGCACACAATAAGATGATGGATATGCGTGAGTTGTGACTTCAGCATTGATAGTTGCTATGAATAAAAATTCTTTACCAATACAGCATACCAAGATAAACCACTCGTCAAGAAATTATCAGCTTATCAGCCAACTGCGTCACAATCACACATTTGTGAATGGAAAAGATAGTTAAGAATAATGGGTGCTTTAAGGCGAAAACTATTTATCTATTAACAAAGTACTTTATTTTATGCAGATTAAAGTCTCTTCTCTACTTGTTTCTCATTCTAGATTAAATCCAAGCCGAGCAATAAAAATCGAGCCAATCAGGTTATAATCGCCCTTTTTTTACGTCTTACTTATTCATAAATTAATAATGCTGAACCCTCTGTAGTTTATGCATAGAAAAAGAAATGTGATTATTTTTTGCACGAGAATGATAAACTAACTACATTTATTCGACCATCATACAAATTATTTTGCATCAAATTTACTACGGTTTAGAAGATGATCAAGTATTACAGCTTGAGAAACCTGCAGTACAGTCCGCGGATATTTTTATTAGTACATGTTTCATTTATTTTTTTACGTTACCCAAGAGATATGTCTGGCTTATATCAATAAAAAAACTCAAAAAAAAATCGAAATTCCTTCTCAATTCATATCAAAAATGACAAAAGCAAATGCAATTATTTATCCAAAAATGAAATTCAGTGAACAAACATCGAAGTCGAAGTCCATACTCTAAAGTTTTCTATACTTTCATACTACCAAACTGAACAACAGTTGTTGTGCATATATAATTCCTGCTTTTAACAATTGGTGGTCTATAAGATGATCAGAATTCATCTTATACACCACCAATTCATAGAAAACAACGTATGAGAAACCACATTTCCCCATCGAAATTAGAAACAACACATTACGTACTAATAATCAGTATTTAATAAATTAGTCTCATCACCTACAGATGAAAATAACATAACTAATTTTACCTTCATTTAGCCCGAATAACCCAAAAATTCCAAAAAGCAAGCAACTGACATTTACTTTTCCGTTCTTATAATTCAATTTTTCTTTTATCAACACTAGCATCTGAAGTATTGCTAGTTAATAATGATCTTATGTCACATTTAAATTAACTATTACCTAAATGATACTGAACCCACTTTCAGAGGAAACAAAAATGCGAGCAGCTCTTTTCAACATAATTGGTATCAAATGTCTAATCTTGCTTATAATAATAAATACTTCCACGGACGAAAAAATGTAATGCATAACTAGCATACTTTACATTGACCAAATCAATGTGTTCATGAGATGCAGTTAAATTGAAATATAAGCAAGTTATGACATAGAATTACATTGTTTTCAATATCATAATTAATATTCAGCATTATTCCATTTTCTTATAAAAATTACGAATTACATTTTTAAAACTGATTCTGTCAAAATATGCCATTGAGTGATTTAAATTCGTAAAGCAAAGAAAAAGTAAAACGAGGATTTTTATTTGAAATATGTAGGATATTTTGCATTTAAAAATGTTAAAAGAAAAATTGAAGCAAGAGTTAGCAATACATCATTTACTTTCCAAAGAAACCCTAGGAAAAGCTGAAGATGAAATTTTCAGAATTTCTAAATTTATTTTTACAGAAATTTTTTTCAGATAAAATCAAATGACTATAGACATATTATTATTATCGCTTATTTTCGATTTTTCCTAAAAATACATCAACTTTACTGTGGTTTTGACTATAAAAAACTGTAACTTTTCTTAAATTAATAAACAAACTCATGCAAAACATTTCATTACAACTAAAATAAGGAAAACTACTAATTTTCATAATACTCTTTTTTTTTTCTACGTTTACTTGGCTTATTGAAAAATATGAAATTAGGAATTTACCGTTAATAGTTAATAAATGTTCTACTACTCAATGAAACATGATTATAAAAACTTGCAATTTGAGATGCCCCTAAATATCTAAATCACAATTATTTGTGATAGTATTTCAGCTTCATATACAAATATGTAAAAATATATAATTATTGTAAAAAAACAGATCTACACAGGATTTTTCAATGATAACTACCGATTTATAATTAGTAAAAAAATGTGAGTAAAATGAAATAAATGAAAGTGCATTCGATATCGCAATAACGCTAGTACTTAAGCAGCACACTTTTTAATACATGCTTCTTTGTTTCCACAACAATTTTGATGAATTTAAAGTATCTAAACTCAACGTACGTGAAATAATCAAAAGGAAAAGGAGATAGTCTTTGAATGAAGCATCCTACTGAACAAAGCTGATTTTTACAAAAAATTTTCCCCACTCCATTTTTTTCTCTCTTGACTTAATATAGTCAATCCGTCAAAATGCATGAAATGCTTTCAAGCAGAAAAAAAACACGAATGGACTAACCTGTAATGAGTGTACCAGCTGTTGGATTTTCAACGAAACTTTAACCGGTTTCAGCGCTGACAACGACGAGACTGAAAAAAAATACTGATTATTTCCAAGCATGAAATCTGAGTTAAGAGACACTCTTCGACAAATTAATATATATACTCATCATGAGTATTAAAATTAAAAAAATGTGTAATGAATGTATTATAACAGCAAAATTCAGTACAAACACATTCATCAACAATGAAGTTCAAATCAATAAACTTTCAAAACAGAAATCTGTGAACAGTAAACGCAAAATTTTTTTTAATAGATAGTAGTAAATATTAGTAAATAGAAAGCTGCATTGACATGAAATTCTAAATTAACTTACGTACAACTGCATTTTGATAATCCTGACTTTTCGCATTCGCTACATTTACATCCGTTTCTGTTATAGCATTTTCATAAACGACATCAGTTTTCAAGAATGTAGGCTCATCCTTCGCAATTTTCTTCGCGAAATTTTGTTCGTTTTCTTGGACAGCTTTTAAATCTTGCCAACCATCAATAGTATTCTGAAAAAATGTCGAGCATTAAAAGAGAAATTGTGTAGAACAAATAAAAAATTACAATGGATCTAACTTTTAAAAATGATGGATGAAGCAATCTAAAAAAATACCTGTTTTCTTTGATCTCTTAGTGCTTTACGAATGGCATCTCCATTCACTATGACACTTGTCGTAACATCGGGAGGTGGAGCCCCGATTGCAGAATCTAAATCCAAAACTTTAGAATTAATTTTGTTTGAAATTTCTTTTTACTTCGAATTTCATTTTGAATGACAAGCCTATTAATGAACTATATTTTTAAAAGTTACTACGTGCTATTTCAGTGAGACCAGTGTTTTTAATCTATTTTTGGATCGTATGACTTGTAGGATAAAATTTTAAATTAAACATTTTACCTGACTTATAAAAGCCATTGCTGACACTTTTCTTCTGTGAATCACTAAGTGATACCGATGACGATGTTCCTTTACTGCGATCAGTACTACCAAACATACTGTCATCTTCGGAACTGCTATCTGTATCATAGTATTGGGTAAACTATTCAATTTCATTTGGTTCCAAGAAGTTTCAACATAAGCGTAAAAGCGAAATGTCAGAAAGTGAATTTATAGAAGATTAATGCAAAATTACATTTTAAGCACATAAAGCTTTAAAATAAATATTTTTAGTCTAACAAAACATGGCGAAAATCAAGAAGAAATTTCGGAAACATAATTCAAAACATATTTGTATCATTACCGGAAGCTCGGTGTCTATCTCGTCTTATTTCCGTACCACGCCGTTTCAAGGGGGGTAATATATTTGGCTTTTCTTTCTTCCCTGAAAATTTACTCATTACCCCATCTATTAGAGACAACCTCAAATACGTGAACTGAGAAAATAGAGAGAACGAAAGAATAAAAATATGAAAAGAAACATTTACTCCATTTCTTAGAGACCAAATTAAATTGAAATTTTTGTCCTTTTTGTCCTTATCTCATGTGTTTCTTTGACTTTATTACAAATTATTAAAGGATGAGATAAAACGATAGTAGCTATTGTTATTCATGAAATCTGTGTTATATGAAGTTAAATATTACTAAATACGAAAAGAATAGTAGAGACCTTGTGAATATTCCGCTAGTGCTTGCTGAACCGCTTCAGCACGTATTTCTGAAAGTTACTACGAACTTTAAAGAAGCAATGGTGTAACAACACGATATAAATGAATGAAGCATGGATATTCTATAAATAACAATGAATGTAGTATATACCTGAATGGAAACGTGATTCATCTCGCGTAAGACGCCTCTGCTGCCTTCTCTGCGCCTTTGTACTTGGACTTGGAATTATTTTAGTATCTAAAAGATATTGAATTTTGTCAATAATATAAAACTCTGAAAACTTGATAAGCACTGATCTCTTATTCTTATAAACTTTACTAAACAAAAGAAAAGTTTTTGAATAAGCACCTTTTTTTGGCGTCTGTAAATAAGGTCCTAATATCAACAGCCTTTTCTTATCATATCCTTTTTGTGTGATATCGCCTGAAAGTAAATTACTCACAACAAGGAAAAAAAAGAAAAACGATGCTAAAAAATACGTAAACTAAACAGAAAATTTTTAAACACTAGTTATTTATGTATATAAAGAAAATATCAAAGATAGTCAATATTTATAATATGTCATAGAAAAGAAACTAAATTTTGTAATAAAATGTACCTTCTGATAATTCTAAATCAAGCTGTGCAAGACGTTCACGTACATCTGATGATAGATTTGAAATGTCTACTGCGTCGACCATAACGTCTTTTAAGTAGTCGACGATTCCAGAAGAAAACTGTCCGTCCACCACCTAGAATATTTCAAGATTGTTTCGTGGTACGAAATTAATGATGAAAAAATAAGAAACGATTGACAGATGAATAAAATACTATATTTCAATATGGATGGTGTGGACCGAAAACTTCAATAAATGCATGCAAGAAGTGCCAGAAGACAATGCGTTATACAATTTCCAAAACTTTTGATACCAGTTCGCATCAAAACAACGCTTTACGTTCTATCTATTAATGAAATGAATAAAAATGAACTTATAAAAAATAAAAAAAAACATGAGTAAAAACAAAATATGACTTTTCTTAGACAGCTAAAATACCATCTGACTAAAACTTCCATGAATATTGACCTTTACTGACTATACGCAACAATATAAGTGAGTTTATTGAAAATAGAAACTAAAAATCACTCACGTAAGAATGTGCTGGAAGTAGTATTTCTAATTCATAATTTTATGACAATTAATTGATTTTGACACGATAAAAATTTCTGACCAAGTCTTAAATATCTGTCTAGTTTGGAAAACTTTACCACTTTACATCTTCCAATTAATGTTCATTTTGAAGTTATTTAGAACAAACTAATGAAGAACATGCACACTGTTAAAATATTATAAAAATTTTGAGTGCAAAGAAGCTGATAAATACTTCTGCACAATCACTAGACTATTCTGCAAATAAAAATTTGCTAAGCAATCGAGTCACATAATCCAACACCTCAAGAAATACTGAAAATGTTATATTCAAAAAACTGACACCACCACTTTTTCTCTGGTAAACCTGTAACTGCAAAATTATTATTGCTCTGAATTGAAAGTAAAGTAATGACCATCCTATGAGCCATAACTCATCAAACACAAGCACTTGTTGATGTTCACTAATCAATATATATGACATTTTAGCAAGTGCGATGACTAATTACAATTTTTAAATACAGCGCTCTCACTTCACCTGTCTTCAATTTTTTAGCAAAAATAAGTAACAATAAGTTACATACTTTTTAATAATACATTACTCTTTGAGAACTTTCAATTATCAACTGTTTCAAAGCATAAAAATCGTTAAATCTTTGTATTAGCTTGAACTTATAAAATACTTGACCGTAATACATTTCACACAGTGATTTCACTTAGACAAACTAATTCACTCGATGCATATGTTCGCGTGAAACTTTAGTTAGAATATTGATTTTTAAAATTTAATCATTGATTTGAACTTTAGAAACCTCTTAACAAACTTTGCGTCTAATAAGAGAGTGGAAGGAATACAGCGAGTAACTGCATAATGCCCTGCTTTTTCAAATTAATCTTAAATGATATCAAAGTATCTCTTTTTGATTGCTTGATATACTATCAAATACCACTAATATCATACAGTACACCACCTGCGAATCATCAATAAAATCTGCTCTCGAAAAGAGGTCTGATCACACTTTATTATCAAAATAACTTGAAGTAAAATTCAAGTGCTGTCAGAAGTACAAAAACTTTTTGCACGCAGTATAAATCGAAAGTCTCACTTTATTTATCAATGAATTACTTCCTAAATAATTGAAGAAGCAATTCCTATATGCTGTAGGAATCTTACTTTCAAGCTCAATTCTCTGCTGTATGGTCCCTGTCACTGAAACCGAAACAAAAACCGAAATTCCAAGAAATAACTCCATGTGATGTACTAAAGGGAAACTTTTAACGAATTGAGATTGATATCGAATAGGAAAAGAATTTTCTTTTTTACATTTATTTCTACATAGTTTTCGTAATCTGTTTGAAATCACTCTTGATTCAGAAATCAACCTTGTATGCGACCCTAATTAAGTGTTATAAACGAGAAACCACGATTCATTGCACTCTAAGCGTACATGATACGGCACATGACTGGTTGGGAATCAATATGCGACAGATTACTATGAAAAATAAATTATCATTTGCTACGAGCTGATCGAATGTGATGGCAATCCAGAAGCAATGTTTGGTTACTGCTTAGAGATTACCAGTATCAAATGTTGGGAAGAAAAATTGAGACTGAAGTGGAGTCAGAGGTTAAGGTTGACCAGTCGAGTAAGTAAAGTAAAATCGAGGAAGGAAGATATCAGGCACAGAGATTGGGTAGATGAAACTACGGAGTAAATGAGGCAGAAAAAACTTAGCTGGCAAAAACACGCATAACTGAAATATTGCTGAAGAATTGTCTGTCTAAGTCAAAAAACATAATTAATTATTACTCTAAAACACTTTGAAAATTTTTGGGTTCAGCTTAAAATGCAAAAAACCAAAAGTCACGCGTCAAGATCAGAGATTGGGTTTCTGAAGGAATTGATACTTGTGCAGATTTTTATGAATCATAAGATTCATTATTCAATTCGAAATTGGATTTGTAGCAGTAAAAGGCCATCAGAGTCTGAAAATAGATGCGATTTCTGATCAGAATTAGAACCTTATTCATATTGAATCTGTGAATAAAGATCAAAGCAATTAACAAATCAGTGAAGAATTAAAACTTGAAAATAGAAGCAATCTTGCCTGCGCGACAATGAAAGAAGTGAAGAAGCCTGTGCAAGTGAGCACTGATTTAATATTAGCTCCTTCTTTTGCCATACGAACTCGAAATTGTGTACTCAAATTGCTACATGTGCAGCTAGCTAGCTTGGCTAAACTATTCTTCCTCATTTTGTTCAGAGTAAGTATTAGTGCTTTTATCCCTCGTACTCTCATAATCATATTTCTCATATAAAAATATAAGTATGAAAATTTTTAATGAAATAATGAAAACGACGTCATAGCAGTGGTAACCATAGCCCACCGAATATTCCAATTTTTTCGCCAAAATTAAAAATGCAAAATTAACTCACTTTTTCCACTGCTAAGAAATAGGTTGAAATTTTCGTCTGAGAAGCAAAATTCCGGAAAATTGCTCATTACTTAATCTGCTAGTAAAATCTTTAGTTTTATCGACTTTCTGTCGCAGAATTGAAGAAGGAGAAGGAGAAGGAGAGGGGAGAGCATATAATCACTTCCAAATACACTTTGTTAGCTTCTCAGCCATTTTTATGAATTTGAAAATGGAATTAAATGGAATCAAAGGAATTCTTATTAGTTCACTATTCACTTCACATTTTATTATTCCTCTAATGAGAACAAACTTATTTTCAAGTACTTAGTACTGTTTCCAATCCATGACTTGCAAACTACCGTAGACTTTCATGTCTTTTCAAACTCTTCCCAGTCACCATTTATCGGTTATAGCATCGATGCTTCATACAGTAATCAAAATTTTTATCGGAAACTTACCATTACTCTCTATTATTTATTAATGTTATTAATATTCATCATTATTATTATTAATTATCATGTTAATATATTTGATATTATAGCTCATTAACACCATAACATTTGTATTACTTAAGCTAATAATTAAGCTAGAATGCAAGCAGTGTGATTTGCAAAATCGCATTATTCCCTTTAAATTATAAGCAAATTTATGTCCTCCATAGTATCAAGAGATAGAATTAATTCTTTTATCAAGAGATAGAATTAATTTTCAAGCATTTTATCTTTTTCAATTCTCTGGCCATGAACAAATCAAGTTAGCCCAAATTTTACTTTTCCTATAATAAAGTTAAAATTGAGACGCTGCAAATTTGCCAAGCATCTAATCTTACATCACTAAGCGAAAGCTTTCAGTAACTATACATGTATTGCCATCATTATAAACGGCATATATTTTTTTGACACATTAAAAATTTCCTTTTTTAAGCATCTGTGTCAAACTCGGGTTAGTTATTATTTATATAGGTCAACAGTTTCAATTTTTATGACACGCTTTTTAAAAGTGATTTTGCACCAAATTAATTGCAGTTGAATTGCACCAAATCAGTTGTGTAATTTTTTTAATACCCAAAAGTTTTAGGGAAGATTTGGCCTAAAATTTAACTTTTTTAGTTGTTAAAATCAATAAATTATCGGTTTTTAAAATTATGAGAAGGCGATGATTATACACTTTTCTCTTTCTTCTTCCATTGAAGAATGTTGTTCAGTAAATTGAGATAAAAAATTTATCGAAGTAATTATTAAATTATAATAATTATGAAAAGCTTGTTACTAAATAAATAACTGTGTATATTAACTTCAAGTTCTGACTTATTTGATGACTTGATTAAACAGGCGGCAAATTGCGAATATGTAAAAATCATATGCGTTAAACAAATCCATTATTTAGTAATAAGTTAAACAAATCCATATAATAAACAATCAAGCGATATCAATAAACAAACAGAGTTAATGTATTCAAATATCAACAAATTGCAGTAATAAATTCAAGGATAATAATAGAATATAGACTATCGTAATAGTGATGAGTTAAAAATTAACACGTATTTTTTATTTTGTAAGCGAAAAAATTAATTTAGCAGCAAAATTTTTGAACTAAAAAATTTGTTGAAAAATGTGTATGACAGAAATTATAGGAATTTGGTTCAGAAGTACGAAAATATTTCAAAAGATTCATATTTTCGAGTTTTGCTTATAAACAAATTTACTTTTACGAACGAAAACTTTGACTTGACATTTGTTTATTAACCAATAAACTGACATTTAGCCACTATGACATCACATCAGTTTTGAACTCAAAATAAAACTAATTAATATAATTGATGAGCAAATCGGAATTTTAATCGCAATGAAAATGGAAGCAAAGAATTAATATTTAATGAAATAGAATGAAGCTGATGTAAAAGCAATGTGATTGAATTGGGAAGATGAACAAGTGAACATTCTGTAAACAGCAAAAGTAATTAACTAATTAATTAATTAATCGAAGGATAAACGTGGAAGGAAAAAGAAAGCAAAGAATTGAATACAATTTGAAGATGAAATAGCAAATCTGTCTGATATATGCAATGCATACGTTGTTGCACTATAATAAATTTAGACAGCCATCTGACTTCACTGATCAGAATTGCGTACTATTCCTTAAAATCAATCGCTGTTTACTGCCTTAATCTTTGACTGCTGTTGTAATGTTGTAAGCATTTCGTTTTACTTTTGAAGGTTTACAAAAATCTTTCCATTTTAAAAAATTTCAGCATCTCCTCTATCTTTTGCTTCAAATTAGCAATAATTTTAATATTAACTTCTTTTAATATTTGCTATTATAAAGCTTTTCGCAATGATTTTGTGTTGAAAAATTTTTCGAATTATTATTTTTTGTAATAGCAAAATTTAGGCAAAAGTGTCGAAAAGCTATGCAAAAAAGTTCTGTCTTTGCATTTAAATTAATAAATTTTATTCAAAAATACTAAATTTCAAATTTTTGTTTGTTTGCA